GGAGTCGGGAAACACAAGGAGCGGATGAGTTTGAATTCCCTAAAGCTGAGGCCTGTGTTTGGCTTTGTTTTTATGGCTCAGAGCCCCTGCTCAGTTCTCTCCTGCGTCGCATGCCAGACCTGGAGACTCTGGAGATCCTGAAGTTGGTGAACTGCCCCGAGACCTTCACCCCAGACATGAGGTGCATCATGGGCGAGTCTCCTTCAGTTCAGGGCTACTTTGTGCTGGCGGGAATGAACTCTGCTGGCCTTTCATTTGGTGGAGGGGCTGGAAGGTAAGTCTTCCTTGCTCAGACCCTGCTTGCTGGGTGCTTCCTTCCTAGAGTTCCCCGTTGCTAATGTGGCGTGTAATGGATGTATGTAATCTGGTATGTTAATAATGAGGAGGTACACATAATTTGAGAGTTGTCCCCTTCAAAGTAATCACTGTGGGATATTCCAGAAGTGTCTTTGTGCACAATGTTTTGGGAACTCTTCTTTGGAATTAGTCTCGGAGCCCCTGAGATGTAGTTTTTGGCTTTTGCATGGTTACAAATGTTGATCCTTTGAGTACGTTTGAGTTTGGAAACAGTAAGTACTGTGAGTGAGACCTACGATCATGCTGAGTAATACAAGTCTTTTTAAAAAATTACATACTAATTAAAATCAGCAAGTCAGAAAGGACAACTACTGTGTAGTTGCACTTCTCTGAGCTACTTGGAGTGCCAGGGTGGCTGCCAGGGCTGGGGCAGCGGAGTGGAGAAGGACTGCTGGCTTCCCAGAGGGAGTTTCAGTTGGGGAAGATGGAGAGTTCTGGAGATGATGGTGGTGACAGTCACACAGCAGTGTTGACGTACTTAATGCCCCTGAACCTCCCACATGAAAATGATTAAGATGGTCAATTTTATGTTCTCTTTTGTTCTGTTATGTTCTGTGTATTTTATCACAATTAAATTTTTAAATTTTTATTCATGAGGCCATTTTTCTTGAGTGACTTGTAGAATGGCTCTGAAAACTCTTATGGAAGAGGAGTTACCAAAAGTGTTTGGAGCTGAGATGTGGTCAGATAGTTGTATAACCTCCGAGAGTTTTCCAGAAAAAAACCACTGGATGGATAAATTAGAGTACATTTGTATATTTTAGTCTTTTTTCATAGATGTGGCTTGTTTTATAGCACTTTCTAGGGAATCTTATTAGAGCTAAAATCATCAGCGGTTTTGAGAACAATAGATGGATCCATGATCAGAAAAGTTAAGGAAATTGCCCAGAATTTCTCAACCAGTCTGTGACAAGATGGGATGTTTCTGTTGGTTCTTGATTCCTCCTACAGTTAGGAGAGTGTCCCATCTGAGGTCTAGCAACTTTCCCCACGTCTAAACAGGTACCTCGCTGAATGGATGGTGCACGGTTACCCATCCGAAAACATCTGGGAGCTGGACCTGAAGCGTTTTGGAGCCCTCCAGAGCAGCCGCACCTTTCTGCGCCACCGGGTCATGGAAGTCATGCGTGAGTGGAGCTCAGTCCCAGTTGCGCCTCGTTGAAGGTTTCTTCCCTGGGGCCTCTTTGATCAATCTGAGGGGCAGTTGTTTAAAAATTGCTCCGAGTCAAGCTTCTGATATTTGGTTGAGGCCTCAGGCCCCGTGTGGTATTTATGGAACCTTCTCTTTAGTATATTGTCTTTTATTTACCTCTGGGGCTAGGAAGAATAGGCCTTCCGGGTGGTAGTTGCTGTCCACCTCCCCTCGGCAGCTCCTTGTGGATGCCTGGGGTTGTCTGCTTTCCACTGTGCCTGCAAAAGTCCCCGTGCCAGGTGAATGCTCTCACTCCCTACTTGATCTCTGAGATCATGATTTGCTTTCCAGGGCAGAGAATTTGCCACGTTATTCTCAGAGCTTCAAGCTTCTCTTAGTGATTTTTGTCATTAACTGTTACGTGCTAACAAGATAGGAAACCACTTCTCGTGTAAATACAAAACATACGTTTTCGTTCTCCTTGTTCTTCCGTCCAGCTTTGAAGGCCTCTTCATTTTAACTTGGTACTCTACCTTGTCTCTGATTTACTTTCTAGTAAATCCTTAGGGTCAGCTTTTGTATCAGGAATTGAACCAAATCAGACTGTCATTTCACTGCCCTGTACTGAGGAACAATTGTTCTGAGACTTTGCCAAAATATTCCTAAATATTTGGGGCATATTTATGCTCACAGCCAAGTTTCTACATTGGCTGTGAGCACCATTCTTGATTAACAGTGAACTGTTGGTTTAGTAGCAGGGGGTTCCATTCATGATGAGGCTTTTGGATAACGGATAACCTTCAGTACCCGTGTGCTCACTTCTAGCCTGGGGCAGAGAACCGTTTGTGGAAGCCAGAGGGCCTGGCAGCAGTGTGGGTGGCCACTAAGGTTCTTTAATTTTAACAATTATTTTGGTTAAAATGTTGAACTGCTATAAGTCCTGACTTCTCCAGCCATAGTTACTTTAGAACCTGTGCAAATCATAATGGAGCATAAGTTTCTCCTTGATGACATGACACTTATGGTGGCCGCCTCTGATTCTCACATAACAGGAATCGCAGGCACGACAGAAAGTGGGGAAAGGGTAAGTAGGACCTTAAGTGTGAGAGGAGACTGAAAAATCATCACAAGATAAGGCAAGCAGCGTGGCTCCCTTCTCTTGAATCTCTCAGCCTCCTCCCCACCCTGCCGTCCCTCTTGTGTGGAATGCCGTGAGGTCAGGTTTTCTCTGTGCAAGGGACTCGAGCTCACACTCTGGCTATTTTTACATCTTGCTGTTGCAGATTAGACCCTAGGAGAAATAAATTCTGACTCTAGCTTTGTTATGTGAATTTGTCACTGGGCCAGGACTATGCAACCTGTCCGATTTCAGAGCCACCAAATCAGGGTATGCTGTGTGCCCTTTCACTTGGGAAGCAGGTTAGATGCGGGAGAGAGAGGTCTGTAACAGTTCTGAGGTCTCAGCGACTCGGGCCCTGTAAGGAAGCACGCACCATGTTTTCACACGTTGTCGCTCCCCGGGTGCTCTGGCCATGCAGCCTTCCTCTCTGCTGTGGAAGTCTGACCGTCCTCCCGTTGTTTCTGCCTACTGATTCGAAACGATGATTGTGAACAGAGACCTGGAGCTGTTCTGTGACTCACAGCTGTGTAACCATGGAGGGATGATAGCAGCTCTTGCAGCATGAGTCTTTCTTTTGGAGCCGGCTTGTTACACGGGGTACCGTTTTCGGATTAGGCCCTGTTAGCCTGGAGAGCATGCTCTTGTGAATAGGAGCAAGTCCCGAATCTCGTGGATGCTGTGTTCTCTGCCCTGTGGTTTGGGCTAGCAGAGACTGTCCTTATCTGTTCCAGCTCTGCTGTACGATCTGAAGGTTCCCCGTTGGGACTTCCAGACCGGGAGGCAGTTACGCACCTCTCCTCTCTATGACCGGCTGGATGCACAAGGAGCCAGGTGGATGGAGAAACATGGATTTGAGAGGCCGAAGTACTTTGTGCCACCAGACAAGGGTAAAAAGGGCCATTCTCATTTTTTTCCTTTTTGCTTTAAGAACCAATAAAACCCATTTTAAAATGTATTATAGCTAGAATGTGTTCCTAGAAGAATAAATAAGAAAAACCTGTCACACTCTACCAAGCTATACATGGAGGGTCCGCAATATAAATCTCCTTTTCTCTCTTGCTTTTGTTGTTTTCTGGTCCACAGACCTCCTGGCATTGGAGCAGAGCAAGACGTTCTACAAGCCAGACTGGTTTGACATTGTGGAGTCTGAAGTCAAGTGCTGCAAAGAAGCTGTGTGTGTCATTGACATGTCGTCTTTCACAAAGTTTGAAATAACAGTAAGTGCTTGGGAACCAAAAGAAGAGATTAGGAACCTTTGCATATTCATTGAATGCCCCCCGTTTTTCATCTGTTACTTTAAAACTGCTTTTGTAAGGACTGTGGTATATTTTAGTGTTTTATCTGTATTATAGCATTTTTCTAAATTTTTAGCTGTTTCTGGGTTGTAATCTGCTTGCAGAGGCCCACTTACCATTCAACTCAAGAGCTAGCTTTCTCTAGAGCTTCTTGTGGTGGAGTAAATCCGCAGGCAGTGTTGCCCGGGGACTGACGAAGGGAGTCTCGTCAGCAAGTCATGCCGCCCGTCAGACGGTGTCACCCGGCCACGTGCTCTGGTGCTCACGCTGTATGCTTTGTTCCCTAACCCTGCAGTCCACCGGGGACCAGGCGCTGGAAGTCCTACAGTACCTCTTCTCCAATGACCTGGATGTGCCCGTGGGCCACATCGTGCACACCGGCATGCTCAACCAGGGTGGGGGCTATGAGAACGACTGCAGCATCGCGCGCCTGGGCAAGCGCAGGTGAGGCCCGCGGCCGCCCCCCCACGCCACGCGGCAGAGCCGAGCACCGGGAAACCCGGTTACACCGAGGACAAAGAGGTTTCTGTCACTCATGGCCTGTTCATTGGCAGTGCGGTACAAACGGAAATCACAAGGAAAGGAAAGGAGAAGAAACCACCCCAGATTATATAAAACTCCATGTGGACAGAGCAGTCACCCTAGGGGGCGGAGACGTTTGCTTACGGTAGTAGGTCTGTATGCTCTCTTGGCACCGACAGGAAGCCCAAATCTTCTGCTTTGTCCTGACGTGGTAGATCCTGGAATTAGGTGCTGCTGGCCCTCTCTGAAAGCTAGGAGTCCACTTGCTGGTCTTCTGGTCATTGGTTGCTTTGAAATGAGTTAACCTGCCTGCTTCCTGACCCTTTCTCTGCTGCCTGGCTTTGATTACTGTCCGTCTCCCTTTCAGTTTCTTCATGATTTCCCCCACCGACCAGCAGGTCCACTGTTGGGCCTGGCTTAAGAAACACATGCCGGAAGACAGCAACCTGCTTCTGGAGGACGTCACCTGGAAATACACCGGTAAGGGGGCCCTCTGGGGTCAGCTGCACAGGAAAAGGCCAGCCTGTCCAGATTTGTCTTCTCCATTTGCCTTCTATTTGACATTCAGAAATGGGGGTCAGAGTGAGAGGCGTGCAAGAGGTTTTCTGGTCGCACAACATTGATCTCTAATACCCCCGTTTTTGTCAGTGAGGTGTGGAGTGAGTTGTGCTTTAGTTTTGGTTTGTTTTGTTCACTGCTATATCCCCTGTAGCCAGCATGGAGTAGTGCAAATATTGGTTGAATGAATGGGAAAGTTGTTTTGTTTTTTTTCTTTAAAGATTTTATGTGTCTGACAAAGCACCTGGGTGGCACAGTTGGTTGGGCATCCGACTCTTGATCTTGTCTTAGGTCATGATATCAGGGTTGGAAGATCAAGCCCTGCGTCGGGCTCATTGTGGAGTCTGCTTGAGATTCTCTCTCTCCCTCCCTCTGCCCCTCCTCCCTCTGGCGTGCATGCACTCTCTCTCTCTAAAATAGATAAATCTTCCTTTAAGAAAGATTTATCGGGGCGCCTGGGTGGCTCAGTCATTAAGCGTCTGCCTTCGGC